CTCTCTCTCTCTCTCTCTCTCTCTCTCTCTCTCTCTCTCTCTCACACACACACACACACACACACACACACACACGCACACACACACAAACACACATATGCACACACACACACACACACACACGAGCGCGCACACACTGAACCGTTTTCCATCATTTTTTTTTTTTATTTTTTTTTTTTTGCGCTGTGCTTTTCACTGGCTTTCCTTTCCTCTTCGACGCCCCCCTCCCCTTCCCATGATCCTGTTGTTCTGCGTATTCTGGCGCTGCTTCTTCTCTATTTGCGTCATTAGCATTCGCCCTCCTCCTCTCCTGTCTTTGTCTGACCACCTCTTTCTCGTCGAGGATGCCTTTTGTAAAGACACACCAACGTGGTTTTTGCAATGCGTCAACGAGCCTCATGTCCTTCATCAAGATCGTGACCCGCTTCGAATGGATTGCAACCTCATTCGTGCTCTCCATGAGATGCACAAGATAAGCTTCAGCTGCCTCCAGAAGTGCTCGAATTGCAAGCATCCCGAACCGCATTGGATTTGTTGCAACCTCTTCTTTGTTCACAATCTCGCGCACAAGCCTTACAAATGGTCTGTAAGTGATGCAAAGGTTTGTGCTGCGTTGCAGGCGGCGCATTTCTGCCACAGCAGCCTGTCCAGGTCGGCGATTCCGCCTCAGAGCCCCTTGCCTTCCACCAATTTTCCGTTTTGTCTCCCCATCCATTGTTGTCCCCCCCTGCCCCCTTCCCCTTCCTCTCCCTCTTCCTCCAGCCATTGTTACCCCTCCCCCCCTTCCATTTCCTCCGCCCCCCCTCCCTACAACCGTCGTTGTCCCCCCATTCTCGCTTCTGGTTGTCGCCTTCCGCTTCGTTCCTTGACCCATCCTCCTGCTACCATCGCTGCGCATCGTGCCGCATGCTGGCGTGCTCTTGTCCACAACAGCATATCCCGTACCGGTGTCTGCAGCTGGGTTGTCAAAATCACATCCTGCACCCTTGTCTTGAGGTGGTCCGTTCACCTCGCATGTCGGGTCTCTTCAAACTCAGGTTCTCGAATGTCCGCATTATAATCGTTCCCTGCCATATCCTCCACTTACATGTACTGAATGTGTCGCAACAAACCATCTGAGTACGTCACAAAAAATGGAACACCCAGAGGGTCTCTGAAGATCATGCACAGGTCTGCCCCGCAGGCATAATGCATGGGACAGACAACGGGTACCCATCCAAGAAGTGTTGTCCGCTTGTGTCTGCAGCGAAGGAGGCTCAGACAGTTATCAGGAAAACCATTTGAAGGGCCTGTGCCCACGCCAGCACCCTGCATTAACCACATGTTCTCATCTTCACGTCCGTCATATCCATACAACACCATATGACGGTCCTCTTCCTTCAGTGTATCCTAACACAACTTTGCATGTTCGCACAATAACGCTTTGTCTTTCACCCTTGCATTGCATAACGACACACGAGCCAGAACAACCATGAAATGCCAATGCTCAACAACACCTGAAGGCATCCAACCCATAGGTACCCACTCGCCTGAACGCAGTTTGGCTGCCGTCGTCACTTTGTTTTTAAAGATGCCAGGATGAAAGACACTGGGTACCCAATTCACATGATACCCGTACATCTCACCGGATAAATGTCTGTTCAACTCGGACTGTGGAATAACAGTCCCGGATATGTCAATAGCATACAACCTATCCGACGTTGTCCTATCCGGGTCCCATATGTCAACGAACAGACCATCATAAGTGACCTCCCTTCCTCTTACATGCCGCAGACAAATGTTGTCCTCCCCCAAAAAAACTTTCCCCTCTACGATTGGCGAAAACACGGGGTTCTCCAGCGGGATTGTGGGTTCCCCTGTCACGACATCAAAGGACTCCAGCATCTCGAACTCCAAATAACGAGAGATGAAGTCGTCGTTTCTATGAATTGTACTCCAACAGTTCCCCATTAAATCGTGGACTATCATCCTAATCTCCCCATATTCACAAGGAATGGTTGACGGCAGCCAACCCCACCGCGTGTCCCGTCTTGCATCATTGTCGTTAAAAACTCCATCTCCAACTCCTCTGCTGTCAAAAACCACCCATTGCTGAGAGCATTCCTCACGATCGTAAAAGAAGTCATTGAGCCGTATCTCCCTCTTTTCTGCCAGTCTCTCCAAAAGGACATGTGTGTGTTTTACCAGATCTCGAACCGCTACGCCGTCATTCATCCTTTCCAGTCGGTAAAAAATAATGGATGCCGTGAAGTAGCGCCATGTTGCTAATTTAGGCAGACAATAAGGAACCCATGTTTCACCACTCTTGAGGGCGAAGCAGTGTTCGCCCCCGATCAACCCTGGTTGCACCTTGCTGGGTTCCCAGTTGATATCGTACACGAATTTCGTTCCTGCTTCAGTCTTTGTGACACAGTTACTGGCAACAATGCAGATCGGGGTGTCTCCGTTGGCTGTCCCCTCGCCGTTATTCACGTCCGCATTTGCAGCCAAGCAAATGACACCCAACAATTCCTCTGATTCCATTTGCAACGTCGGTCCTTGACCGGTATCGTTACTTGCCACCCCTGTCGCTGGACTGCGAACGCACTGCTTGTCAGCGTCGTCTCTGAAAATGACGTTCGATATCACTTCTTGCAAGTCTTCGGTTGTACATGCAAAAGTCTCACCCACCATGTTCGTCGAGACATTTGACTTGTGCATCTATAACAGCAGACATGACAGACATTCGTAACAACATGTGACGGCCAACACGTTATTCGTATGTGTGTGTGTGTGTGTGTGTGTGTGTGTGTGTGTGTGTGTGTGTGTGTGTGTGTGAGAGAGAGAGAGAGAGAGAGAGAGAGAGACAGACAGACAGACAGACAGAGAGTTCGTACGAAGAGAATGAAATGTGTGTGTGTGTGTGTG